ACATGTATTATGAAACCAGCAATAGCATCTGCTTTCTTGATATCTTTGCGTCCCACAGAACCCCCAAAGAATCAACCACACTTCCCCTGCTTTTACTGGATGGTGGCCCTCCCTGGCTGACACCCCTTTTCATGGACCAGCCATATTGCACTCAGTCTTCCACGTATCACTTACCTATTGCATATGGCAACTCTGTGCTGAGCTTTCTAAAGAGCTGGCAGGTGTGAGCCAAAGTGGCCAACACCATATTACATGCCCGGGGTAGTGGGTGGGACCAGGGTCATCTCGATATCACTATATCTCCAAGAGTGATCCCATTGATCTACCAAAGACTCCTTAGCTATGGCTTGAGTCTCCTGAGACACTGATCTCTGAACTTGTGCCATACACAGTAGGCACAAAAGATATGGCTCTTACCCTGGGGAGCCAGGAACTATATTTCCAGTTTTAACTGGAGGGCAAGATCCATCTGCACCCCACCTTCTCAGAGACCCTGCATCCCATTTCTCTACTCCAACTGGCCAATAATACTGGCCAATAAAGTAACTGACAATTCACTCCTTAACCTTCCCCCACTCTCTTTTTTGTTTTCTTTCTCTCCTTTCAGATGGCGAAAGCAAAATGGAAAGACCCTACAAGATCTTTTTCAAAGATCTCTTCCTTTTCAAAGAAAATGAAGTTGCTGCAAAGAAAAATGTAAGGTTTTTAAGATCAGAGTCCCAAGAAGGTTAGAGCCCTGTGCCTTTAGCCATAGTTCTCACCAGGATTTTTTTTTTTTTTTTTTTAATGGGTTAGGACATGATGACAGGTATGGATACACCTTGTCCTGTGCTTGGGACCATTCTGGGGAGAGACAGCATGCAGAGGACAGGGGTGAGCAGGGACCTTCAGAGGTCGCCACCTAGTGGGGGAAGGCAGTTATGCCATTACCAACTAGTGCAAGAGGCATGGTTCAGCCCGTTGAGTGTGTCTGACACCCATGGTTTTCATTATTACTACGTTTCTGAAATCGGGTCCAGCTTGCATAGGTGGCTGAACACAAAATAAAAGTACATCTTACCACAGGTAGCAACTTGGGACTGACAGGTCATGGAGTCAGAGCTGTGTAATGGAGACAGAGAAGTCCGTTCTGCTGATGGGAAAAATGGGAAGGAGAGACAGAGTTCACTCTGGTGACAGGCATTGAGTCCTTAAGAATTGTTATTAGAATGTGTCAAAGCTGTTATGTATTTTTGGGAGAGAGGAGAAGAAAGAAGGAGGGTGGTTTAGAGGCCAAGATGATTATTTTTAAAGTAATTTGGAATAAAGAATCAGCAGTGGGCCTGAGATTCAGTTTTTCTTTCCAAAGGCAACTGATTAAAGGATGCTCCTAGGCCTAAGTATAATGAATAAAATAGCTAGAAACATTGCACTATGTTCATCTGGGGTGAATTTTTCTATGGCCGTTGTGTTCCTTTGTTAAGATTAATACATGATTAAATTGAGAGAAGTTGAAAGAAATCCAAAGTCTGGGTTTTCACTACCTTCTGTGGAAGTCCGTTTTCCCCCTTAAGTTTTCATTTCCAGTAAGCTAAATCCTTTGGCATTTCCATGTTTTCCCTGCATTTAATATAGATAGACATTACCCTGTGTCTGTTTCTGAGATACTTTATTAAAGGCCCAACCTTTAAAATATGTTCTTCCTTGTCTCCACATGAGAAGGAAAAGGATGCTGGGCACATTTCTTCCAGGGTGAGCTCCAGAGCTGCTTAAGGTCAAAGATCTTTGCTATTTACATATGAACACTACTATAGCAGTGTATTACTGTGGTGTGTTAAAATTCCTTTGTAATGCTTCTGTACTTTGGATAGGAAAGACTCATGAACCGCAGCATGAAAATCTACCAGAAGACAACATTTTCGTCCCGAATGAAGAGCCGATCACACCTCAGCCAGCTGGCTTTCTATGCTGAAGCAGGTGGCGGCTCCTACGAAAATCTGGGGCTAGATCCCACTCTTATTCTCAGACTGACAGAAGGTAAGTCAATGTTACTGTTACTCTTTTTAAAAATAATTTATTTATTTTTATTATCTACATTGGTGCTTTGCCTGCAAGTTTGAGTCAGATCCCCTAGAACAGGAGTTACAGACAGTTGTGAGCTGTCATGTGGGTGCTGGGAATTGAACCTGGGTCCTCTGGGAGAGCAGCCAGTGCTCTTAACTTCTGAGCCATCTCTCCAGCCCCTGCTCTCAATCTTGAAATGTTGTTTTGGATATTTGCTCTTCATCACAGGCTTGGGAGATTTTCTGGTGGTAAAAGAGACAGAGTCAATTCTACTGTTGCAAGATAAAGATAAGCCCAGAGACCATAGCACAAATACTCTTTTTACTTTTTGGTTTTGGTTTTTTGAGACAGGGTTTTTCTATGTAGCCCTGGCTGTCCCAGAACTCACTCTGTAGACCAGGCTGGCCTTGAACTCAAAGCGATCCTCCTGCCTCTGCTTCCCAGAGTGCTGGGATCACAGATATGTGCCACCACTGCCTGGCTCAATACAGATATTCTTAAAGCCAAAAGGGGAGTCTTAGGTGCTGGCCAGTGGATACATGTGGCGCTTGCTTGAATAGTGCAGCTCCAAGCCTCAGCACCATTTGTTTTCTATACAAAAACAAAAGCAAAATCACAACCACAAGAGCAACAAAACAAGACAAAAACAAAAACAAAAACAAAAACCACACACACACACACCCTAGTTGCCACACTTCAGTTAGCAAGAAGCAGAACTACAGAAGCCGAAAAGCAAGGTTAGTACTCTTAGAGACTTTATTTGTAGACTTTTCTAGAACTATGGACTAGGTCTTTGTTCCCATTTTGGCAGGTGTTGGGTCTAGCTGCTGGGTTTTAAGGTCAGAATGATACCTCTAACATGGTGTCATTCATGCTAAGTTCTGTGGCCTGTTAGAATATGGCAGGTAAGATCATTGCAATAGGCTTGAGAGCAAGAAGAAAGCAGCTCAAATAAGAATACACTTTACCAATAAGATCGTTACTTCTTCCGCTTTCAGGAAAGAAGGAAGTCAGTGCCAAAATAATAGTGTTGACGTTGGCAAAGGCGAGTAATAGGAAAGCAATAGCCCTAACCATCTCTACTATTTGGGGTGTGGACATATAGACACTTCCAAAGGATGGAGGAGCTTTGCTGATCCAAACCATATGACTCAGACATAGAGCATCAGGCAGTTAATGAAGTGAAGTAAACTTGCCTGGCATTGCAAAATCAGTCCTGGTTTAATGACCTGGTTATCAGAAACATCATAAGCATCACAGGTCAAGAAGCACCTACAAATGAAAGGACTTTGCAGCTAATAAGGCCAGAGTGGCTAATGAGAAAAGGGTCTTTGGGTTCACTGACTCCTGTAGAGAGGCAAGCCCTGAGGCTGGGGAAATGGCTTAGCAGTCAAGAGCGCTTAGCTACTCCAGCAGAACATTGGGGTTCCATTCCCAGCATTCGTATAGTGGCTCGACACCAGTTGTAACCTCAGTCTGAAGGGCTGTTACGCCTCTTCTGGAAAAAGAGGGGCTGTCTAGATAGCTCAGCAGGACCCACGATTTGTTCCTAGCACCCACATGGAGGCTCACAGCTACCTGTAAATCCAGTTCCAAAGGATCGGGTGCTATCTAGACAGCCCCTCTTTTTCCTTAAGACTTATTCACTTATTTTTATGTGTTGAATACTTTTGTCTGTATTAATGTACATGGTCCAAATGCTTGCCTGATGCCTGAGGAGGCCAGAAGAGGCACTCTGGCCTTATTAGCTGCAAAGTCCTTTCATTTGTAGGTGAAGACTGTTCTCCCACCCTCAGCTCCTGGCTGTTGACATGATCTGGTCATGAGACAGGCATAGAGCTATGTGGCTTCCAAGAAGCTTCAAGAGCGCTTAGCCACCTCCCCCCCCCCCCATTACAATGCCATAGACAGGGACTGCTCCTACAAAAGAGAGCCAAAGGGGGAAGCAACAAGCCTCATCAATGACTGAGAATTAAACCTCTGGGTTGCTTAGAGATCTGGGCAACATTTTAAGACAACTAGGAAAATGCAGCCCAGGCCAGACATGAGATGGTGTTAAGGGATTGTTGGTTTGTTGGGAGTGAGAACGGTAGGAACACTGTTTTCTCAACTGTCTGGTAAAGTTACACGCTGAAGCACTTAGAGATGAACTGCTCCACGGTGTTTTATTTTTCTCCAAAATATTCTAGTGGGGGAAAAGTTAAGGTGAGACATCAACAGGCAAGACCTATAAAATGTCAACAATGTTAGAGTAGATGAACTTTGGGCTGCACTCTTATGAATTGTAGTGATTTCCAGTGTGCACAATTTTCAAAGTACTAAGAAAATAGCTGTTTCTAAGTGATAATTACTTGGGTGTGTTGTATTTAATCTGCAACAAAGTGCTGTTAGGATGTTTTTGCCTCCTCTTTGCAGACAAAAATGGTTAAGTGTCATTGAGTCATCCCAGATCTCTAAGCAAATGCAGAATTCAAGTCAAGGCCGACCTGACTCTGTGGTTGCCTCCCAATGAATATGTGTTAATGGTTATAGTAATCACTGCTGCTTCTGTGGTTGATCATAAAATGAAATGATTCATCCCAAGTGTATTGTTTAAAGAAAAGCAGCTAATAATTATTGAGAAACTACTGAGGGCCTCATTTTCTTCTTCCGACACCGTTGTGAAATAGAAGGTTGTTCATACACAGGCTACAGTGTGCTTTCACAATAAGCCACATTGAAATTCCAGTGGCTTCCAACCCAGAGGTTTAATTCTCAGTCATTGATGAGGCTTGTTGCTTCCCCCTCTGGCTCTCTTTTGTAGGCGCAGTCCCTGTCTATGGCATTGCAGTGGGGGGAGGTGGCTAAGGGCTCTTGAAGCTTCTTGGAAACCACATAGCTCCATGCCTGTCTCATGACCAGATCATGTCAACAGCCTGAGGAGCTGAGGGTGGGAGAACAGTCTTCACGGAGGACACTGAGGCACGGAGAGGGTGAGAGCTTCCTCATCTCTCCCAGGTAGTTACAGGTGGAAGCCCAGTGCCTTTTGGAAGACATGAGCCTCCCAGTACAGCACAGGCCCACTGCTTGTTTAGGAGTATTATTTCTATTTACCTGGTTAGTGAGAAACTTTATACCACAGTCTGTTGGTCTCACACAAAACTAATGTGGAAATGTACCATTTTCCAAACAGAAGAAAACTTGAATGTTTTTGGAATTCCTATTTAGTTTTCTGCAGGGTAAAACTGATTGTCATCCTTTTCACCCTAGTTACAGTTCTAGCTTGCAGCCGCTAAAGACATCTGGTCCTAAGACTCCAGTCTTGCATCTGAACATTACAGTTCAGGGCAGTGTACAAACACAAACGGGACCCTGTATCACACAAACTTCCCTCAAAATCTCAGGGACCATTGCAGAAAGTGTAGCAAAAATACTGAGAGCCAGAGGTCAGAGAGGACCAAAACTAAACAGTGTCCTTTAGATAGGACAGGGTCACTGCACTCATGACCTCACAGCATCTGTGATCACTTTCGCAAGACCTGACCAACATCAAGCCAGTCAACATTCCAGCATGGAGGTGGGAGGGTCTCTTAAGGCAACTATCCACAGTTGAGAGCTTCGAGGTGGGTTTTCTGTAAGTCTAGGCTAGGTCACCTGGGCTTCCGCAAAGAGCCCCACACCCGTGAGGGCGTGGGCAGCACAGACTGGACTGTGAGTTAGTTTTGAAAGAGGACACAAAGCTGGGATGGGTGGAGAGGAGGGGGATGGGTCTGGGAGAAGCTTTAAAAAAAAAAAAGCTTTAGAGCGGTGTGGCCAGCTTTGGGGCAGCAGTGGCTTGGGAGGGAGTTGGGGGTGGGTGGGGGCAGTGAGCATCAGCTCTGCCACTTAGAGCTGTGAGATCTTGGGCAAGAAGTCTGACATCCCTAAACCTCAGGACACAAAGTGGATGAGATAATAATAAATTTTTCATGATCCATTAATATGTTTAAAATATATAATAAGCTTTCCAAACTATTGGAAGACACAAGTAAGAGACAGCTACCACCGTGGCCGTTCTTGAATGTCAGGGAGACTTTGCGGAAGGCAAAGCTCTTTTGCTAATGCTGGTTACACAGTGTATGTGGTAACTTGGCCCAGCTCTGTTCTACGAAGGATCTCTGAAAGCTAGCAAATTAAACATATGTCTATTTCAATTATCTCTCCAGGTTCGGACAGAAGGAGGACTGCCTATCAGTTTATTAATGACCAGAGAGACAGATTTCTTCTTGAGGTATTTAAAGTAACTTCTTTCTCCAGTTAGCCAGGAGGTTCTTGCCTTAGCGTCATAGTTTCCCATTGCATGCTCCAAATCTACTCACTGCACAGAGTGGCTCGTTCCTGTGTTTATTGGCTTGAACAATATTTATTGAGTACTTACTATGTGCCAAAACACTACAAAATTCCCTCCCTCTGGAGAACTTACAATCAAGAAATCTATACCTGTAGCCCAAGAAGTAGTCTGTTTTAGTTTTTGTTTTTGTTTTTAGAGGATGTTGGGCCCCCAGATATCTCTCTCCCCTAATTCTGTCCCTCACAGCCTCAATAGCCCTGGAGAAGCCTAGTTAGATTTAGGTTTTCCCGACATTCTAGTTGACTGTGGTAGGGATTAGAACATTCTGAAGTCTTCCAGCTCTCTCTATACCTGCCTAGACCCAAGAGAAATGGCTTGTTAAAAGGAAAGGAGATATTAAAGCCAGCCAGAAAAGCCCCGTGAGGCAGGGTTCAGACACACTCCAGAACAAAGCTCCTGAGGCTCCCTCCCCAGGGAGTCAGAGTGTGGCAGCTTCCTGTGTCTGTAACAATAAATGCACAATACAGCCAACCAGGGAAGGGTTAAAATAATAGACAGTTTTACGCTATTGTCCGTAACCTTGAACTAGAACCCAGGCTATATGACACACAGTATTTATTATCCTTGTGTGCATATTCATTTACCACAGACAGGGCAGAGACTGTGAACCCAACAGCAGGAGAATAGTTACAAAAAGACTCAATCAGCTCTTGTTTACACCTCTGTTGTCAAGCCCTGATTATTTAAAGATAGTCTCTTTCTTTTAAGGTCTTGGGTGCTAATGAGTATACATGAAATTGTTATTTGATCTTTCCTAATTCATAGCACACACTTTTGATTACAAGCCAAGGTTAATGCCTCCCTCTGAGGCCAGCTTCGATCAAGAGGAAAGAGCTCATGTAAACTACATCATGCAGTTGTAGATAGAACCCCATGCCTTCACTAGCTAATATTGGTTCCTGAATGTGATTTTGGCCTTTATCATGAAGCCGGGGCTAGGAGAACATGGTTCTTGGCAGATTCTCTGGGGTTTGAATGCATTTGGAGTAGATGTGCCTCGTCCTCTGCTCTGGTATTTTTCCAATTCCCCCAAGCAGGTTGATAACATGCCCCAAGTGATATGTAATGAAGTCAACTTATCACTAAAAGTGTAGCTGACCTTGCCCAAACAATGTCTGGCTCTGGCCTTGTCTTCTAGAAGATGACCTATGTCATACCTCAGAAAGATGTCTTTAAGACGAGGCTGGCCACACCAGCCAGTCTTAGGATGGCCACGTCAGATGTTTAGGGCCATACTGAGAGGGTCTGGGAACTGAAGACAGGTGAGTCACTTAAACGTGGCAGCGGAATGAAGCTTCATTGGGAACTCTGGCTGGTGAAGCTTAGTTGACTTCCTGGTTGGCTGTACTGTGTGTTTATTGTGACACATGCCCAGATGGAATAACAAGCTGACTCCCTCTAAACAAGTCGTTCTTAACCTGTGGGTCATGACCACTTTGAGGTCGAAGATCATATATTTACATGATGATTCATAACAATAGCAATTACAGTTATGAAGTAGCAACAAAAATTTCATATGCTGTGAGAAATTGTGTGAAAGGGTCACAGCATTAGGAAGGCTGAGAACCACTGTCCTCAACGCCACCTCATGGGGCTCTTCCTCCAGCTGATTTTAATGTTTCCCTTCCTTGTAATAAACTTTATCCATGAGCTTTTGTGAGACCCAGGAACCTGAAGCTATTTGAGGGACTCCTTAAATTTGCCAATGGTGTCAGCAGTGAGGGCAGGCTTGGGATGAGTCCCTCAAATTATGCAGCTTGATTAGCTTAATAATTTCCAAAAGTGAATTGGTCTCAGCACGTTACTTTGCTTCTTTCGCCCCCTTTGTCTCTGCTTCTGCTCCTATTCCTTTTTAAAAATTTTATTTGTGAGGCGTGAAATTCTCATTTTAAAATGGTAATGTCATGTGAATTTAATACTGTGCACAATTCTATGCCAATAATTTGGCATGGATGGAACAGATTTCTGGAAAGTTAAAAACTATCACGAAGAAAATCTACCAAGAAGAAAACAGATAAGTAGCTCTCCATATAACTATAAAAATTGAGCTTGTAGGCAAAAGAAAGAAAAATCTGCATTCACTGGTTAATTTTTTGTTTGGTTAGGTTTTGTTTTTGTTTTTTTGAGACAGGGTTTCTCTGTGTAGCCTTGGCTGTCCTAGACTCACTTTGTAGACCAGGCTGGCCTCAAACTCACAGTGATCCACCTGCCTCTGACTTCTGGAGTGCTGGGATTAAAGGTGTGCACCACCACAGCTGGCTCACTGGCTAATTTTAAGACATTAATTCATAGACATGTTAAGAGGAAACCATTCTAATTTTGCAAACACCGTTAAATAAAATCGAGTAAAAAGCAGGAACACTTCCCAACACTCACCAAGGACGTTGTCCTGGTCTCTGAACAGCATACAGGCTTTAGAAGAAAAGAAAGTATCATGATATGGCTTAATGGCTTAGAGCACGTGGCTCCAAGCCTGTTGATCTGAGCTCAAGATCTGAGACAAACATGGTGGAAGAAGAGAATGACTTCTACAAGTTGTCCTCTGACCTTCTCATGTTCCTGCCCAACTGGTGAGAGTTCAGAGAGGCACTGCATTAATGAACTAGTTAACAAAATAGAATACATTTTTAGGGAAGAAGAAAGCTAGAGGCAAGCATTACAAACAAATTTCAGCAAATCAAATACAACAATACACAAAAAGGATAATCAATTATGGCTAATTGGGGCTTATTCTAAGTATGCAAAAGCAGCTTAGCATTTGAAAATGGATAAGTACAATACACACCAACAGATTAGAAATGAAAAGCCGTATAATCATCTCAGCCACTGTAGAAAGAGCATTTGTCTATATCCAAAACTTGTTCTTTTCAATAACAATATTTTTATCCCTTGGGAATTTCATACAATGTATTTTTGATAAGTTCACACACACCCCAAATCATCCCAGATCAACCTTTGTCTTCTTACCCTTCCCACTTTCTTTTTTATTTACTACTAATGTATTATTTGTTTAAATACATTTTTAAACTTTTATTGATTTTTTTTTGGAATTTAACATTATGCACCCCAATCCCACTCATCTCCCCATCGTTTTGTATCCATCCTCCATTCTTGCAACCCCTCCCTACAAAGGAAAATAAAAAATAATAACGAAAAAATTTTTAAAGCAAACCAAACCAAAAATCTCACCGTGGAAGCTGCAGGGTGTCCCACAGTCTACCCTTTTGTCCATACATCTTTTCTTGCAAATGTTCATTGCAATGAGTCATTGGTCTGGTTCGGGGCCTTTAGCTTCTGTTACACTCTCTATACTGGATCCTCACCGGGACTCGCCTCACCCAGACTCGGCTCAGATATCCTGTTGCCCTGGGTCATGGAGATCCTGCAGCTGTGGGTCTGGAGAACCTGCTCCTTTACATGCTCCAGCAGTTCACAGATGTGGTAGCTGTTGGGGTGGGCCAACTCTAAGCCCTGGATCTGGGCCTGGGTGGTAGTGGGATTGGCCAGCCCACCAGCTCTCTTGAACCCACCACCAGGGTGAGCTTTCCAGCACTGACCTGGCCAGCTCACCCAATGCCTCAGCCAGCAAGGGGTGGAACCAGTGAGGAGCAGGGCCAGCTCTGCTCAGCCCTTGGACATCAACATGGTCCCACTGACATAGACATGGCCCTCATTGGCGACATGGGCCTGGACTTTGCCCAGGCCTCTGGTGGCAGGGCAGGCTACTCTTGTGTCTCCAGTTCTACCTCTCTTTATAGTGTTCAAACCATTAGCTTTTCTTTCTCTCCCATCTCTTTACCATGTACTGGCACATCATAGTGGTTCCCTCTTGGGTGGGCCCCATGGTGGGCAGGCCTCTGGGTATCTTCCACCAGAAGGCCTCTCTCCCACCTGCTTTCATGTTCTCTCTCTCTCTCTTTCTCTCACTGAGTCCAATTTATGTTACCCACCTACTTTTGGATGTGGGACCTGCCTTAGCCACATCTCTGACTCTTAACAATTTTTTGAATGCTCTTATCCACAATGATCCCTGAGTCTCAGGGGAATCAATGTGATACAGATGTTCCACTTAGGGCTGAGCATTCCACAGTCTCTTATTCTCAGCTAGCTGACCAGTTGTGGGTCTCCATGTTCATCATCATCTATGGCAAGAAGAAGCCCCTCTGGCGGCAATGGAGCTAACGGCAATATGCCATTAGGAGTTGTTCCAGACGCAAGCTGGAGTCATCACAGTAGAGGGAGTCTCGGTTGAGAAAATGACTCTATAAGATCTAGCTGTAGGCAAGCCTGTGGGCATCTTCTTAATTAGCGATTGATGGAGGAGGGCGCAGCCGGTCGTGGGTGGGCGGGACTACCCTTGGGCTGGTAGTCCTGGGTTTTTATAAAAAAGCAGGCTGAGCAAGCCAGCAAGCAGCGCTGCATCAGCTCCATGGCTCCTGCATCAGCTCCTGCCTCCAGGTTCCTAACCTGCTTGAGTTCCTGTCTTCCCTGCTCTTGAACTGTGAGTGGAATAAACTCTTTCCTCTTCAAGTTGCTTTTTGTCATGGTGTTTCATCACAGCAATGACTGAAACTGGTGTCGTTTTAATACTATGCCCCCTAGCAGAATAACAGTAGTAGGTTCTCCCCTAAGGCCTATCCAGCCCCAAGTTCTTGACCCCCATAACAGGAGTAAGTATAGGTTCTATCCCATGGAGCAGGCCTTAGGTTCAATCAGAAAGTGGTTGGTTATTCAAATTATATTCATGGCACTACTGCACCATTGAGCATATCTGGCCAGGCCAGTCCTTATTGTAGCTCCTAGAGTCCACAGCTGGGTGAGAGAGATGATTACCTCTCTCTGCCAGTGGGGTCATAACACTTTCCAGCTCTATGAGAGTTGTCCAGCCAGGATGAAGCTTCCAGGTCAGTATCACCTTGATTTCTTCACGTTCTATGACTCAGCGTGTGGTGTCTTTGGTAATACATTGTCTCAGTTACGTGATAAAATTCCATGACCAAAGGAAAGGGTTTATTTCTTTTACACTTCCAGGTAACAGTACATCACTAAGTGCGGAGAAATTAGGTTGAGAACTCAAGCAGGGCAGGAATCTAGAGGCAAGAACTGAAGTAGAAGCCATGGAGGAGGGCTGCTTCCTGGCTTGCTCCCCATGGTTAGCTCAGCATGTTTTCTCATAAACCTAGGGCCACCTACCAGGGGTGATACCACCCACAGTCAACTGGGTCCTCCCACATCAATTATTAATCAAGACTATGTCTCACAGTCTTGCCCATAAGCCAATCTTATGGAGTTGAGTTGAGATCCCTCTCTGATGACTCTAGCTTGTTCCAAGTTGACAAAAAACTAGCCACCATGGAGTCTTATGGTCAAGTTCTAGAGGGTAGCCAAGAGCAATGGCAATAGCCTATAGTGTTTGAGGGTCAGTGGAATTCCTGGCACTGGGCTTTTATTTTCTGGCATGGGGTATCTAGTTGGAGCATTAACACTAAAGGCCTTTAGAGGAAGTCATATAGAACCCTGATACTGTAGAAGCTTCCCACAACCACAACACACACACACACACACACACACACACACACACACACACACACACGCACACACGCAGACACACACAAACGGGAGAGAGAAAAACAAATCCATGTGGTCTCATATCTCACATGCTATAAAACTAGATAGTCGTCAAAATCACACTTGGGTATCTGATCAGATCTTTCTAGGTTTAGATAAATAACCCACACCTTCCACCCAGCTTGGAGAAATCCATCATTGCAACTGATTTCTCCTATCAGAGGAGAAGATTGGATGTCTGGTCACTACAGACAGCCTGGTTTCCTTGTGTCCAGAAAACTGGAATACATCCTTGGTAACAGATGGACCCTTGGAAGAGCATCTGTTTTTTGATTGAGCAGCCATTTTAGGTGAAAATGGTGTCTCTTAATAAAAGCTAGTGAGAAGGCTTCATCTGGCTGCCCCTAAAGCAATCTCATGAGATAAAGACCCAGCTCTGTGAAAGCTATTACTTCTGACACAATCGATCTCTTGCTTGCAGGACTCACTAACCTCTGTTGAGACCTGCTTTAGCTGTTAGCATATCTGTAGCCCCTCTGTTGAGACCTGTCTTAGCTTTCAGCATAACTGTAGCCCCTCTGTTTAGACTTGTTTTAGATGTTAGCATAACTATAGTTATTTTGCTAAGCCCCTAGTGTGGAATTCAATACTTGCTGCTTCAATTCAATACTTGCTGCTTACAATAGAATAATAATGGGAAATGAATATCTATGTTCTGCTTGAGTTAATGATGAGTGTATGTTCTGCTCAAGTTAAAGATAGATGTTCTTTTGGAGTTAAACCACAATACCCTGCTATGCTCCCTTCTCATGGGAAAGGTAGGGAACTGAAAAGTCACCAAATCCCCCAACAGAGGGGACTGGAAAGCTTCCAAGTTCCCCTGCCTTATATACCCCAGCCAATCAGCTTACAATGTTTTGTCTAGCTACCTAGGCACAACGTACCTGGAATAGAATTGATTCTTCTTGCTTGGTTATGGTTTTATTCCTTTAAAAAGACACTCTGAGAATGGCTCAGGGTCATAGTCTTGGTTTCTAAATCCAGACTGTGTCCCTGACTGGTCAGACTTTGCTAAGCATTCAATAAACATTCATCGATCTGGCGTGAGTGGTCAGTGTGCAGCTATTCCAGAGCCCCAACACCCTCTATGGAGATTATGTTGAAGCATGCCAGTAATGTGTGACAGAATGTTCTTAACACTCTTTGTTTCCTGTGTCCCCAGTATGCAGTGACAACCAAGAAAAACACAATTCAAAGGTTTGAAAGGCTCATAGCCATGAAAGAAAGGCAACTCAGAAAAGCTGAGAGAAAGCTGCAAGATGACGCAATGTCCTTTGAAGAGTTCCTTAGAGAAAATGATCAGAGATCTGTAGATGCTCTTAAAATGTTAGTGTCTCCATTCTGGCCACAACTTTCCCCCAAGTCTTTGCTTGTTTGTTTTAGTTTCTTGGGAGGGAAAAACAAACAAACAAATTAATAGATCTGTGTTCCTTTCTTAGGGCAGCACAAGAAACATTAAACAAACTTCAAATGACAACGGAGCTCAAGAAAGCAAGCATGGAAGCGCAAGCAATAAAAAGGTGAGGGCGTGTTATCTATCCTCAGTCAATTCCCACATCCAATTAGAACCTCTTATGCCCAGCACAGCCAAGTGGAAATAACTTCAGCAGCTGGCACCTTAGTATGAAAGATTTTAAAATGAGAAACATCAAGGACTGTACTTGCCTAGATATCAGAACATAAGCCTCCCTGGAAGCCTCTGATGTTTGGATGCAGAAGCAGAGGAGTTAATTGAAAAGAAGCAATAGGATGTCGGGAATCAATACGTTTGTTTGTTTGTTTGTTTGTTTGTTTGTTTTCCTACATGCCTCCTTTTTATTCATTACATGATAACCTTGCATGAAAGCATCTCAAATGGGATGCATTTGATGAGTGCTTTACAATCATCGTTGGCAGATCTTGTATTCAAAATCCTTAGTAGAATCTCACTTTGCTGTTAAAATTAAGATCTATACCAAGAAAATCTACAGGAATGGGAATGGGGCTCATTCTTACATCACCAACCACCCCTCTCCAAACCTATGTGTTCCTTTTGTGCTCAAGGAAACTCAGCTGAACAATTTTTAATGTATAAAAAGGCTCTTGAAACCGCTGTGGGGCACCAAGTTCATAATCTAAAATATGAGTTTCAGACAGATCCTTGCTATAGTCACCTCTTCTATTTAAGAAGTCTAAGGTTGGAGATGCTTTAAGATCGAGAACTTCCTCCCTCGCTTCTCCCTGTAATGAAATTCTTGGCTACATCCCCCAATTTTTTTTTTTTAACTTTTAATTTCTAGATAGTGCTTGCTATCTTTTTCAGGCTGGTCTTCAGCTCACTCTAACTCAGACCTTAAACATCTTGTCTCAGCTTCCCAACCCGCTGAGGTTACAGGTGTGTGCAGCCAGGACCATTTAGAGTGGTGGTGCTCAACCTTCCTCATGCTTCGGCCCTAAACCACAAACCCCAAACCACAAAATTATTTTATTGCTACTTCACAACTACAATTTGGTTACTTTTATGACTGGTAATGCAAACATCAGATATGCAGGTATCTGGAGGGGGTCATGGCCCATAGGTTGAGAACCACTGATTTAGATGCTCCTATTTTTTTAGAGACTTGTGGAAACAGAGCAGAGGCCATGGTGCTTGTATTAATTACTGTGTTCTGCATAGTATCCATTTGGTGACACCTCCACACTATCTTGCCAGGGACCTTGCCCGTTACTTATAGGTCTCACCATTCTGGAAGAGCGAATGAGATAACGGAGCACATGCTTGTGAAGAGCCAGTGAAGGGGAACCTTTTCCTTTTGTGGTAATACGGCTCGAGAATGGAGAGTGTTTGAGAAGGAGAAACAGCTTTCTCTAGAAACCTTTCTACTAAAACCATGCAGTTGTTTGCCTTGAGGTCTTTGGGACACATCTGGGAGGTGGAATGAGGGTCTTCTACCGTCTCCCAACTTGTGAACACACAGAACAGAACTGTGTATTGTCCCTAGGAGACCATTCCTATTGGGCTGAAGGAAGGCTCTGGCAGATGAAAGACTGAGGCCAAGCATATTAGATGACCTAACAGGGATAAGGGTACTAACGAGGTTCTGAATGGGGAGGACTGGCTTGGGCCTTCCTGCTCTGTTTTCAACTTTGCCAACTGGTTTGTTAGAAAATGATAGGGATGAACCAATACAAAGCTGGGGAAAGCATTCAGCTTAAGTCTCTAGACATTGTTGGTGAGGACACAGGCATTTGTCTGAGGTCTGCCTAGATGGATGCAAGTCATTTGTTTCTTCTTCCAAAAGAGGAGACTAAGAACATCCGCTCTTTTAAGATATATTTTAAGTTATGTGTTTGTGGATATGTGTGCTGGTGCACAGGTCTCCTGGGGTTAGAGGCATTGGGTTCACCTGACACAGGAACTAGGAATTAAAATTGGGTCCTTTGCAAGAACAGTACATATCCCTACTCTCTGGACCATCTCTCTATCCCTAAGGATACCTATTTTTAAATGTTGTACAGAGTGTGCAGTTATGTATGCTGCTCACACATGCCAGGACTTAGTGGAATAGTAGCTCTCTTTCTTCCCCTCACACTCCTACCGTCTTTTTCACCTTCTGATTTCTCCATTCGCCTAAAGCTTGATAGAATAGAATCTTTCTGACAGAAATCAGCCAGCAGGGTAAGTCTGTCATCAGTCCATGCTTTATATGTATGTCACTGGGCCTATGGGAAGGGGGGGGGGAGGTCTTCTATAACCTGTGTTTTTTCACCCACACCCTGTCCCCAGAAATAATGGCAGTGAAACCTTATATTTATGAATATATGCCTAGGCCATAAGCTTTGGCTCATTCCCCAACTTGCTCATAACTAATGTCCTGATTATTTTATTCTGCTATGTAGTTGGTTACCTCTGCTCAGGTTTCATGCATCTGTCCTCCTCAGTGTCCCAGGCAAATCCCCAATTACATCACTCTATCAAAGCATTCACTCTCTTTACCAGAACTCCTCCCTCCTATTTCCTGCCTCAGGTATAGGTCAATCAGCTGTTTATTGACAAGTGAAGAATACAAGCACAAGGCAAGAGATTCTCCCTACAGGCCTGTTGTATTCAAATACCAGCTTCTGGGTTTCTTTCTCATATCTTTCAGAGGTGTATAGTTTGTGGCTGTGTTTGCAAGTTTTGTTAAATGTGCTGTTGTACAAACAAGGGGTGGAGAGAATCCTTTTATGGCTGTTTAACCACATCCTTATTTCTTTTGAAGTGAAATAACAAAAACAGAGTTCCTCCTCAAGGAGTACATGAGATATGGATTTTTCCTGATGAAGTTATCTCCGAAACATTGGCAATTGCAGCAATCACAAAAAAGAGCCCAGGAATCAAAAAGTACCCCCGTTCTCCCTAGAATCTTAGGAAGTAAGTCATGGCTTATGTAATTCCAGCTAAGCGAATACCCTTGATTCTAGGGTGTTGTGCTCAAAGTTTCTTATTTATTTCAATAGTCAGAATTTTTAAAAATTGTATGTGCATCAGTGTTTTGCCTGTATGTCTGTGTAAGGGTATCAGATCTTCTGGAACTGTGACAGACAATTGTGAGCTGCCAGGTGGGTGCTGGGAATTGAACCCAGGTCCTCTGGAAGAGCAGCCGTGCTCTCAACCACTGAGCCATCTCTCCAGCCCTCTTCCTATCTTTGTTATTGTATATTATTAATTTGGAAAGTAAGGTTAGTTTCAGATATAAAGCAACAAAAATAAACTCACGGACAAATAGAAAATACATTATTTATAGATGATATAATGGTATCTCAAAACTATTTGGTATTCTTAAAGGTCTTTATAGTAGAATCAATGCATACAAAGTCAATTATACTTATATACTAATTTAATAAGCTAAACTTATTTGTTGGGAACTGTACAGATACTTTGAAGCCAGGAAAACATCAATTTAGTGTGTATGACCTAGGAGTTTAACAAATAGAACAATATGTTGTGTTTTCAGATAGAAGAATTGATACTATAAAGTTGCCAATTTTTTTTTTGAAATAAATCTGTGTATTTGGTGGAGCTATAATAAAGTGCTGCTACCTAGGAGTTGAGCATCAGAGCAAAGAGGACTTTGTACCATGACCCTGAAGCTCATACAGAGAGATAAATGCTTTTAGCTTAAGACAGCGATGGGGTGGGTGAGTCACTAATACTTCTTTAAATAGGATCTATTTAAATATATTATAATTTTAGATGAAAATATGTGGTTAAATATTTAATCACGTGGTCTCAATAATTAGAACAGTGCTAGCTTGAGGGTGTCAGTAATGGAGCAGTAGTGATGGAGCCCATTACACAAACATTTCCTAAATGATCCAAGTGGAGCTGCATCAAAACAGAAAATTTTATTCCCAGCAACACTGCAGTAGCTAGGACCACACTCACTTCCTTCTTGAGAAAATTCTAAAATATTAGATAGATAGACATTGGTCATCAAGCACATAGCAAAGTTCTCCCTGGGAGAAGAAAAAAAAGCCTCACAGTGAGCATTAAGTTTCTCAGCTACTGCTTGAAGCATTTCCAAAATTCCATACAAGGACAGGAAGTCTAGAGGGAGCCCAGCTTACCTGAGCATTTACACCACAGAAATTGGCAAACTAACAATCAGGGAGAATTTGTTTTGCAGGGAGCTGCCTGTTAGGGACATCAGTGATGACACATGACCAAAGCTCATTAAATGATGTTGAGCAAGAGAACAAAAGAGAAGGAAGGACAGCAGCAATGTGTTTCCATGACAGTTTCAGATTTCGTCACCCTAGACTCCTCATCTAAATGGAGGATACTCAGAACCCAGTATCAGTAGCTGCAATGGGATTTCAGGAGCAGTAATGGATGGACGCTGGAGATGGGGCTCCCCTAGGCCGTAAATGATCTATTCTCCTCTCTCCTCCCTATGTCAGGGAGCAGTTCTCACCACTGCAGAGTGAGATTTTAGATTACAGGATCTCATTCTGCATCTCCACCCTTGGAAGCTTTGACATTAATTTGGCTTCACATTCCTTTCTCCCACAAACACTCTCCTCACTCCTTCCTCTTCATTTCCCATTTTTAGGTGTCTCATCAAGTAAAAGTGAGACCAGCGCCGAGTTGAACAAGAAAGCAACTTCAGGAAAGCTCCGTGGAAGTAAAGAGGAACAAGGTGAGAGCCAAGGCCTGTGACTGCAGTGACCAAGGCCTCCAAACTGCTGTGTGCTCACAAGGAAGCTCTGACGGAAAACAGAAAGTGATGCCCGCATCACCCCAGGCCCCGGGGAGCCAGGCATTCTGTTATCACAATATTATCACAAAGACGTGTCCAAGTGGACAAGAATTTCATCCCAAATGTCTCCCCAAATAGGCCTCGCCAGTCCTTTGGTTCAAGTCTGCCTTCTGTAATGACAGTCTCCTAACCCAGCCTGAGACGTAAGAGCAAGGGTAGACACTCTATCATAGTCAACCATGAGCACTTTCCATCACCACTGCACAATGGAGATTTGAACCCAGTGTTTTAGCATAGCTTGACTTGGAAATCAACACTTAAAAATAATCAAATACCATAGAAATATCCGAATTCATCTTCCCTTGAAAACCACCAGACCTGTTTCCTGTGGAGACAGTCTTTCCACTGGACCTGAAGTCCTGGCTTTAAGGATATTTCCGTGGGGACAGTCTTCCCTGTTAGGAAGGCTACTTTCCCTCCTGTGCCTGGCACCACCCAGTGGTCATCTGAGTTTATGATCACCAATACAGGCTGACTCTTAGGAGCCCTTTCCTCACTTGATCATAACACTAAGCAGTGGGTGTATTTGACGGTTGGGGCAAAAGCAGCACAATTTGCCTGCCCAGAAGTGACCATGATATCTAAGCCTCATGCCTGTGCATACAGCCAGCTAATTCAAAGTGGATTTCCCCCCATACTTACGAGGCAATTGGAGCCTACAAAACACGTATTTCTCCCTTTGGGTAGTCTGTGATAGTGGGTAGGGATGGAAGGAAGGATGGCTATCACTGGTGTCTTCTAAAATGTTGAGTATGAGTGTCACTCGATTTAAATAGCAACTCTTATAAATGGTTTCCATAATGTGTGCTTGGATACTATTCTGAAAGGGAAGACAGTATTGTATGAGCGACTCCATCCCTTTTTTCTTCTTCCCTTCCTTTTCCTTCATTCAATTCATATTTAAGAAAGGCATACAATGCCTTTCAGGCACTTTTAAAGACTCATTGTGCACAAAGACAAATGGAAGACAGTCCTGTACCCCAGCATCATGCACTACGACGAAGAAATTGGCAGAGTAAGGTTAGGCTGTGAGGGCTCTTTGTAAAAGACCCAGCATGTGATCCTGTACGTCTGTGTAGGCCAGGTCATAGTGGGGCTGGGTTTTGAGGAATGAGTAGGAGCCTACCAGGTAGAAGGTGGCAAGGATGAGGCCCACTGTTTATTCAAAGTCTAACAGGAAAAATAACAGGGAATCATAAAGGTGTCGGTATATCCTGGGTGGTAGATGGAGACTCTCGTGGCCAACACTGGCCTGGCTGTTAGTTTCGGGTGAGGGTTGGACCTGATCTTGAAGAACACACAGAAGCGGGGAAGCTAGGTCCAAAAGGCCCCCAGCTGGAAAGTAGGTCTCCCCACACGATGCTGAGAACAGAGGTGGGCATCCTTTCAAACACTGTGATTAGAAATAAATGTTGCTCATGTAGGGGAATCAGAACCATTGCTTACACCTCACCATTTTTGTCCCTCATTTGGTAATTTTCAGTAGTCAAGTCCCGCCCACCAGCTGTTTTTTCAGTTGGACACTTAAACTTGGAGTCCAATTTTAGTGGAATGAAAGAGCTCCATTTTCTCTATGATCACTATTTTTGTAACAAAATTGGGTTTTTGAAAAGAAAGGGCAGCAAAGTCTCATCTTTAAAGGGGTTCTCCTTTTTCTCTCCCATCACCAATGACGTGGACCTCACCTGGGCATTTTGAACAGGAACGGGACAGAAGAAATCTGCTTTTGGCATGGACGTTATACGGTCAACCATTTTCAAGTATGGTACAAACTTAATGAACTCTGATGAAAACTCTCTTTGGCCTTCCCCCAGCATAGAGACCTCGTCAGAGTCATTAGTGGCCAAGTCTGGGCACTCCTGAGATGCCCCAGAATTGTGCTCTCTTTGATAAGGACCCACCACCCCCAGTCACTGCAACCAGCACATCCCAGACCCTCTGGGTCACTCCTTCTAGCTGTTCTGCTAGCCTGGCCACCTGCAGAGTCACCCTCATTTACCTACTGCAGTAGGACCATAATGCGTTTTCTTTTCTTTTCTTTTCCTTTCTTTTCTTTCCTTTTTTTCTTTTCTGTTTCTTCCCTAACCTGATTGCTAACTCATGATTTCATAAATTGTTCACCGTCAGCCCTAGTTACCCAAGAGGTGCTCTGAGAAGATACATGACTGTCTGGGTCAAGCATGCTAGCCTCAAGGAAGGGTTCTGAGCCAAGACTGCCATATCTGGGACAATCACTGAGGGCCACAGAGACATTTGACTCTGAATTCCAGGGATCGTGGGTCAGCCCACTTCTGTGGCATTTAGCCCTTGCTATTTTTCTTTAAATCAAAATTTCATTTTTTGAGATCATTGTAGATTCAAATGCAGTTTTAAGAAGCAATATTGACTCTTGACCTAGTTTCCCACAACAGGAATCCCGTGCCAAACCGCAGTGTGATGCCACAGCCGGGGTATCAACCTTGGACCCAATCAAGTACAAAATGTCACCGCTGGATTCTTCATGTCTTTCATAGCCATGCCCGCCTCTTTATTCCCCTGGCAGCCACTACTCCGTTTGTTTCTCTGATGTTGTCATTGCAAGAATTTGACACAAGTAAAATCATGCAGTGTGTAATCTGGGTTTTAATAATAATTGCCAAGATAGCCAATCATGTTAGAGTGTGAGTAGCTGGTTCTCTTGTAGAGAAGTAAGTACTCTGTGCTCCGAACACTGTATGCTTGAACTCTCTATCTACTGAAGAATATCCACCTGGTTTCTAGTTTGGGGCTGTAATGAATAAAGCCACTGTAAGTATATTTGTTCAACTTAAAAATGTTTTATGTATCTGGCCTGCACGCGTATATTTGCCCCGTGAGCATGCGGTGCTCCCAGAGGTCAGAAGAAGCCATTGGGCCTTCCCTGGAACTGGAGTTAGGGACAGTTGTGAGTTACCATGTGGGTGTTCTGCAAAGGCACAAGCACTGCTACCTGCTGAGCTATCTCTTTAGCTCCTCACACGGCGTTCTGTGTGAAGACAGTTCTGAAGTCTCCGGATGAGTGTCTAGAATGCAGAACCAGGCTGTGCCATTTTACACCAGCAATGCAGAGGACATCTGTTTTCCCCAGCCTTTGCTCCATTGGGTGTGTGCGCGCGCGTGCGTGTGTGTGCATGCGTGTGCGTGTGCGTGTGCGTGTGCGTGTGTGTGTGTGTGTGTGTGTGTGCACTCTGTCTTCAGTGCCAGTGGAGGTCAGAAGAGGTACTGGATTCCTTGAAGCTGGACTTATAGGCAATCGTGAGCTGCCTGATGTAAGTGCTGGGAACCGAACTCGGGTTCTCTGAAAGTGTGTCCAGTGCTCTTTAACTGTTTCTTATTTTCACTCTTCCAATAGGTGCTAACCTCCCTCCCCTCCCTGCACTCAATTATTCACTTTTCTCTCCACTACAGCCATCTATCAACCTTCTTCTTTCCTTATTTCTGGTGTATTAAAATTTCGATTTATCTTTATATTATAAAAGATTTTTTCCAGAGCCAATTTCCAAGACACACATATTACTTTTTACCTACCCCCTTCTGAGTATGTGTGTGTGTGTGTGTGTGTGTGTGTGTAGCACATTATACATGTGGAGGTCAGAGAACAACTTTCATGATTCAGTTCTCTCCTTCCACCATGTAGGTTCAGAGTATCAGACTCAGATCATCAGGCTTGGTGGCAAATGCCTTCACTCCCTGACCAATCTTTTATAGGCCCAATGACATTATTCCTTAGGGTTTTATCTTATCATCACTTAGCCGAAGCGTCCACTCATGATTAGAAACTATTACAAAAAAGCAACTCTTTTCTTAAAGAGAGAGATAACTGTTTTACTAAAAAGCACTCAGAAGACTGTGTCAGTCATGAGTGAGTGCTGGAGCGCACATTTTGAACTCATGTGTTAATCCTCTTTGATGCTCACAAAATAGACATATGTTCCTTTAGAGAGAGCAAGCTAATTTTCAATGCCTCCCAGCCCCCAGGTCTATCCTGTAGGGTTTAGTGCCTCTGTATGGTCTCACGGCATGTGTAACTCTATCTGGGACTAAATATTATTTTCTCTTGCACAGTTGTGGGATTGTGGGTGAGCATTCCCATAAAATAATAAACAGTTTAGTGAAGAGAATTCTGTGATGAGGGCTGTGGAGGTGGTTCAGTGGTTAGAGAACTGGCTGCCTTGTGGAAGACCTGGGTTTGATTCCCAGCATCCATATGCTGGCTCACAACTTCCTGGAGCTCCCATCTAAGATGATCCAACCCCCTCCTCTGGCTTCCATGGATACCAGGCATGCACATGACAAGCTGACATACATGCGGACAAAACGCTCATACACATAAGTAAAAATTAAAGAAAGAAAGAACTCTGTAGTACGGTTTAAAGTCAGTTTAGGAACAAAGAGAAACACCATAACAGAAAACGACTCGGAAGTGATTCTCCTTACTCTTTTTCCTTGTAGTCCAGTTGAAGGCAAGAGCTCTGAGGACAGTCTGGATCGCATGGTGGAGGAGGAGCTGCTGGAGTTGGATCTGGTAACCACATTGTGTTTCTCAACGCCAGCTGTGTGGTCTACACATGCACCAATTTTTTCTGAGGCACTCTCTTCCAAACATATTGAATCAGCCATCTCTTGTAGGTTAGGGTGGCCTCCTACTTGCTGTATATCTGAGGATGACCTGGAGACCCCAAGCCTCCTGACTGCTTCCCAAGTGCTCAGATTACAAGCCTGCTCTGCCCTACCTGGCTTTCTGGCCTACAGTGTATGCTTCTCCTCTCTCGTTCTCAAAAGGGCTGACATACTATCTTTTGTTTTTTATAGATGGCTTGATGACAGATATTGGTAATATGCAGGATTTAAGAACAGTATCAAATCAATAAAACAAAACCCAAAGCAATAACAATAGCAACAACAAAATTCAAGGCCAGCTTGGGCTACATAGTGAGTTCTAGGCCAGCCTGAGGTACATAATGAGTCTTGGCATATGTGTGTGTGTTTGTGTGTGTGTGTGTGTGTACATGTGGAGGACAGAGCTGACACTGACTGTATCAATTAATTGCCAATCCACTTTATATACTGAAACCATGTTCCTCACTGAATCCAGAGCTCACTGATTTTTGGCCCCCTAGCCATCTTGCCTTGGGAATCCCCTAAATCTGCCTCCTAGCCACTAGGATTATGGAGGGTTGGGAGGGTTTGGGTCAGCTGTCACACTTACGCAGCCTTGACACATGTCCTCCACACTTTGATTCTCAGCACTGCACAGCATATGTTTTAGCCACTGAGCCAGTCCAGGATTTTGTTTTATTTTATTGGGTTGCAGAACCACAAATAGTCCTCTGGCAAAACACCCCATCATTGCTGCAAAACTGACTGCAGTCTTACCTCAATCTTAATGCAATCACAGAGCTTGGAAATGATCTTAAAAAGAAACAAAATCACCCCGCCAAACACAACCCATTACTATCCAGGACATACCTGACCCAGGTCATCCTGCTTTTAAAACTGTGCTCAAACACACGATTGCCTGTCTTAACACATCCAGTGTGCAATATAGCAGTGTTGACCATACACATTCTATTGTGTAGCAGATTCCACATCTTCTTCACCTTGCAGACCTGAAGCTCTGTGCCTGTCCAATACCCCTCCTCCAACCTCCAGCCCCTGACAACTATCTTTCCACATCCTGTTTCTAAGAGACTGGTTATTTAAATACCTACTTAAGTATTTAAATAAGTGGATTCTACACTTTGTGTGTGTGTGTGTGTGTGTGTGTGTGTGTGTGTGTGTGACTGGGATCTTTCATTTAGTATAACAACCCTCAAAGATCATTTAAATTATACCATAATGGGTCTGGGGAGTGAGCAAATAGGTACAGTGTGTTAGGTCTGAGCATGGCTGAAGGAGGACCCCAGACTCAAGCAGTATGTAAAAACAAAGAGCATTTATTCTGCAGTGAATACCAGCATGCTGGGGTCATCACCTTCACAAAATGGTGGCGACCCTAAGGGGAACTCACAGCCCCCCTTTAAAGCCAGAAAGGGGAATTTTTACTGTAGTTACATGACCTTGGTTGGTATTGGCTAGTGTCCATGGAGGCTATGTGACTCCCATTGGGACTGGCTGGCTCCTTGGAATTAAGTCCTCTCACAGTGCTTGCCTTGTGTGGTGGTTTGAGTAGATGTGGCCCCCATAGACTCACATATGCTTGGCCCACAGGGAGCGGCACTATTAGGAGGTGTGGCTTTGCTGGAGTAGATATGGCTTTGTTGGAGGAAGTGTGCCACTGGGGGTGGGCTTTGAAGTCTTGTAAGCTCAAGTCTAGCCAGTGTGTCTCAGTCTGTCCTTGATGACCTTGGGTCAAGATATAGAACTCTCGGCTACCTCTCCAGTACCATGTCTTTCTGCACACCGCCATGCTTCCCACCATGATGATAATGGACTAAACCTCTGACCTGTAAGCCGGCCCCAATTAAATTAAATTCTTTCTTTATAAGAGTTGTCGTGGGCATTGTTTCTCTTCATAGCAATAAAACCCTAAGACAAAAAACTAAGACACCTTGCAAGCATGAGGCCCCAATTTCCAGCCCCAGAACCCATTAAAAAAAAAAAAAAAAAAAAAAAGTCAGGCATGTTGCTGCATGCTTACAATCCTAGTAGCTGGGGAACAGCAACAGGCAGATCCCTAAAGGCTTGCTGGCCAGTCAGCCTGTCCTACTTGGTGATTTTCAGGCCTGCAAAAGATTCTGTCTCAAAAACACAAAACAACAACAAAGCAAAAAAACCAAGACAGAACAAACAAAACAAACAAAACCAAAAAGTGGTGGGCAGTGCCTGAGGAACCACATCTGAAGTTCTACAACCCTCAACAGTGTGGCCTGTGTACCTGCCTGCACACACACCTTTCTAACCACACAAATGTACTGTAGGCGAGGAGTTCTCCTTAAGACTGAAAGGTCCACAGTGTGTATGTACTGTATTCCCTTTACCCACCCACTTCTAAGCGTTTTTGTTGCCTCTGGGTCATGGCTGCTGTAAATAACGATGAACCCATGTATTAATATATAAGTCATCTTTCAAAACACTTGCTTTGGGACTGGAGAGATGGTTCAGAGGTTAAGAACGCTTCTGTTTGCTGCTCTTCCAGAGGTCCTAAGTTCAAGTCCCAGGAACCACATGGTGTCTCATCACCATCTATAATGAGATCTGGTGCCCTCTTCTGGCTTGCAGGAAGAATACCATGTACATAATAAATAAATCTTTAAAATGCTTACCTTAAGTAATATTTATTCTGTTGTTTTGTTTTGTTGTTGTTTTTGTTTTTCAAGACAGGGTTTCTCTTTGTAGCCTTGGCTGTCCTGGAACTTCATTCTGTAGCCCAGGCTGGTAACTCACAGTGATCCACCTGCTTCTACATCCCTAAGTGCTGGAATCGAAGGTGTGTGCCACCATGCCTGGCACATGTGTTCTTAAAAAGGCAGGGCATATGAAATAATTAGTACTGAGAGGAAATGAACTGAATCAGTTTCCTATCTCTCCCTCTCATCTTTTCTTTTCCCCCTTTTCTGCCCTCCACTCTTCTCCTGATACAGCTTTTCTTATTTTCCCCTCCCCTTTTTCCTCTTTAATATTTTCCCATCTCTTCCTGTACCCCAAATCATCTGTTTCTATTTGCCATCTCTCCCTGAACCAGGTGTGGCTCCCTTACAATTCTATCTCCCCCATACACAAAATAGCAGCATGGACTCAGGACATTTTCAAGAGACCATTTGTGTTGTGAGTGTGGTCCCAGCTATTGCTGGGGAGTGTGGAAACACCGCTGTGGACCTTGTGATGTCTTTTGGGGATAGGGCAGTGGAAGGAAATTAGGTCATTGCGGGTGTGCTCTTGAAAGGGAATCGGGGTCAGTGGTGTCTTCCTCTCTCTTTTCCTCTTGGCTAAGATGAAGTGAATAGGCCTCCACCATGTGATCCTGTCATTAGGGTACTGTGCCAGCATATGTGTATGATAGTCCCAGAGCAGAAATAATCAGTTCCTCCTTAAAAGCTGATTTTTTTCCTCAAGTAGTTTGCCACGTGCATGGAGAGCTAATGAGCATGACAGCTCCCTCCCTATACTGTCTAGACAAGTCACAGGAGCATAACAGTCAGACACTTCTCTTCCCTGTTGATTGATTAGATGCCGGAGCTTTACTTCAAGGAGCCAGAGGAGTTACTGAAGGTCCTCATGGAGCTGGAAGAGCAGAATCTCACCTTGGTCCAATATTCCCAAGATGTAGATGAGAATCTCGAAGATGTCAACAAAAGAGAAAAAGTTATACAGGATAAGATGTGAGTACTTGCCTCCTGGTCAACAGGTACCAACCAGAGGCCACATCCAACTCACTCATGAGGTCTCTTTTCCAGGTGTAGCTGGGGTTCTAATCAATGATTTACTTGATGGGCAGAAAGGTAGACTTTACATTTGTATAGATAAGGCTGGTCCTAGTTTAATTTTCTTCCTGCTTCCTCTGACTTGTTGAAGTCTTTCTCTAGCTGGAGTTGTTGAAATGGCACCCATTGCCTTCATTTGCTCCAGGACAGCTGTCACCTGGCTAGCTGTCACCACCTAGATTGAGTGGGTGTGAATCTCAGCAAAATGACTTTCTGTGATTTAATACCATATCATTTCATAATGTATCTATCAGTGTACCCCAGTGCAGAGGAGACTAGCATCACAGAGTACCTCTACCATAAGATTACAGTTTTGAGAAGAGCTGTAGATTACAGAGAATAAAGCTTTGTAGCCAGTCCTTTACCAAATGTGTAGACTTGTTTGGAACAGTTGTCTGGGTCAGAAGATGGCAAACTTTTTAAGCAATAGGTCAAACTACACTTAACTTCAGAACCAATTAATCTACCCAGACAGCAAGAACCTGAGAACAGTCAGTGCTTCCCAGCAAACTTCACTGTGCCCTCAGTTTCCTCCCCCAGCCTCGATTCTCCAAACGGGGTGGACACGTTCAGGAGGGAACGCGATCTGTGTCCAAATCTTTCTTTCAAGATTACTTTTAAAACACAGACTCTGGAGGCAAGCTAGGCCCGAGGCTATTCTGATGGTCACCCAGAGCTGAGGGTACTCACAGGATAGACACACACAGCTTGGGGTCCTGATGGCTATACCCGGCTGCTTTCTGTTTGGAGTCTTGAGGGGAAGCCCAATAGCAGAGAAAGGGAAGAAAATGTTTTCTAGTGGAAGTTAAAACCTGCTTGTAAGCATTTATTTGCCCCGTTATAGACAACAGGGGATACGACAATTATTGAACAAGCGTGAGGATGTGAGTGCAAATCCCGGAACTTGCATAAAAACCAGACACAGTAATGCACATCTGTGATCCTGGTGCTCCTTATGGGAGGCAGGGACGAGAGTGTCCAGAAGGCCATGGGCCAGACAGCCTGGCATTTGCTTCAGTGAACAAAAACAAAACAGAAACCCTGGGCCACTGGACGCTTCAGTGGGTAAAGGGGCTGGCTGCCAAATTTGAGTTGAATCCCTTGAATCCACAGGGTAGCAGAAGAGAGACAACGCCTCCAAGTTGTCTCTGACTTCCCCATACAACATAGCATTCACCCCAACTGAAACAAACAAACAAGCAAGCAAACAAACAAACAAACATTTTGGAAGAAGGCCTGTGGTAGAAAGTGAGACTCAACAGCTGAGGTTGTCTGTCCTCTTGACCCCCATGCGTGCATGGCAAGAGCCCTCCTGCTGCCCCCACCCCACCCCCCGCCACACACACACAAGGTATGACTTCCTGTGTGGCTGCAGGGTGCCAGATGCTGACATGTGCCCAGCAAGAGGACTCAGTCCCTCGACCTTGAGTTACAGACAAGGGTCCCCCCTTACTTTTGCAATAGAAACAACAACATCGAGTTCCTGCTGGAGCACAAGCAGATGCTTATGGTGAACTGTGAACGAGAGGAGGAAAAGGCGGCGGAGCTGGAGCTGAGGTCCAGACTCTTCAGTTTTGGAGAATTCAATTCGGATGCTCAGGTACACCTTTAGCCTGTAGTGGCTGTTTTGTCTCCTGGTAATAATTTGGCTTCCCTGTGTGCCTAGCACCTGATAGGGGAATTTAAGGCAAGCCACAAACTGTTGACAGGGGTGGAAAACCAGCTTGGAATTTTTCTGTCAACATGAGTCAATTTCCTCAATAGGAGCCATTCACGTGCCCTTGGGGTTCCCGTGAAATGTTCTAGTTATTTCAAACTGCCTTTGTTTGTCAGTGTGTGTTTGCACGAAACATTTCACTGCCTTTGATCATTCCGGTGGCAATTCAAGTAACCAGTCAGTAACAGACGATGCAGCGAGCCCACCCACTTCATGCTGAATGGGACATTTGCCCAAGCCCCAAGCCTAGGCTATGTGTCACCTTCTTTTGGCCTAAATCAATGGGCTCATTTCCTGGCACCTGTGACACGTCCTAATACCCTTATTTTTTGACAAGTTCATCTTTCCCAGCTGCATGCAAACCCCTCCACACAGGGACTATCCTAGCTTCCTGCTTGTGAGCTCAACACAGTGGCCATAGTGTCAGTGCTCAATAAATGTTTGTTGAATGAATGATCAGATTAGTTTGCAGGTCCACAAGGAACTCCAACAACCATTGGTTTGTTGGGAAAAGCTCAAGTGAAATAAGAATCCAAAGCCGCTCCATTGGGGCTAGCATCACACTTAAGGCTGTGAACCTGACTTTCAGACAGAGGTAGAGTGAAGGAATGGGCTGCATTAGAGAACAAGTGACCACCCTGGCCTACCTACAGATGGGGCAGGGTTACTGAAAGCAAAAGCTGTTTATGGGTGTCATGCACATGCATGTTTTAAAGTATGACAGCATGCTGTCTTGGCAGCGATGGCAGGAAGTGTGTTGGTTGTAACAGTTCAGCTCTTCATTTTTGTTTTTATCAGCCATTTCTTTTTCTCACTGAGCTACCACACACATAAACTTTGCCAACTAACCATCCTGAGTGTGCATTAAGTACATTCACGTAGCGTCACTGTTACCACGGTCTATTTGAAAAACTTTTCCATCATCACTTCAGCATGAAATTTAACATCTTGGCCGTTTTTTCTGGAATGTACAGTTTGGTGGTGTTAAATACATTCATGTTGTTTTGCAACCAATCTCTAGAATGCCTTTCATTTTGTACAAGAAAAGCTGCTCATCCATTAAACATGAACTTCCTGGCCCTTCACCCCAGTATCTGCGTTCTGTCTCTTTGAGCTTGAGTCTTCTACATATCGCGTGTAAATGGGTATGTGCAATATATGCCCTTTAATGTCTCGCTCGTGTCACGCTGTGGCATGTATCAGAATTTTGCCCATTGAGAGACTGAATCATATTCCATCCTATGTACTGTCCTTTGACTCATTCATCTACTGATGGATATGGGTTATTTCTAGCCTTCAACTCTTACATAGTTCTGAAGCTGCCGAACCTGTAAAATATAAGATAAATTATCTGTGATATGGAATGGTATCCCCATTGCAATAAAACCCCTTTAATTTCAGCTTAGGGCAACTGAAGAAAAAAAAAAAAAAAAAAAGAAAGAAAAGCATCTTCAACACTTTTTAAAACATTGAGTCAGCTAAGAGAAGGGAGAATCTAGTTTGTGAAAGGCCCAGGGCTCAATGCCCAGATGGTATGAGAACACAGAATTGGTTGAAAACTTCTTAAGATTATCTATAAAATATCAGTCACAAGTATAAATTTGGTGTTCATGCACAACTTGCAGGCATTCTCTGGAGCATGGGGTTAATAACTCGTGGTCTTCCAAAACTATGAAGTGTGGGATATGGAAAGGGGGGAGAACCCCAAAAGTTAGGAGAAACACTTTTGTTGGTGGTATTTCCGGGTTTTGTTTTTGTTGTTTGTTTTTGAGGCACGATCTCATTATCTAAAGCTGGGTTCACACTCACCGAGTAGCAGAGAATGGCCTTGAATTTCTCCTCCTACACCTCACTTTGGAGGCTGGGATTAGAAGCATGGGCCACCATATCCAGTGTCTTGCAGTTCTGGGGGTGCCTCACATGCTAGACAAGCACTGACTGGGTGCTTCTCAGCCTTCCTAACACTGTGACGCTTGTGGTGACCCCCAACTATAAGATTATTTTTGTTTCTACTTCAAAACTGTAATTTTGCTCCTCTATGTAAAAAAATCTGATATGCAGGATATCTCCCATGTGACCCTGTGAAAGGCTCATTCAACACCCTCCCCCAAAAGGATTGAGACCCACAGGTTAAGAAACAGGAAATTAAACCAATTAAGCTGCACCTCCCCAGACTCACAGAAAGTATTATATTCTTAGTTTTTCTGTTTTCTCGACCCAGTTTTCTCAAAACATAATCCTTTATGAATAAACATCCATCCCTAATTTTTAAATTCCCTGCCCTTGGCCTTCAGAATTATTGAGGACTACATAACATATCTAATTTTGATATCCATAAATAATTAGGGACTTCAAACCTATAGCAATAAAATAAGTATTTTTATTCTTTCAAAGCCTCCACAATTATAGATCCCTTATTCAGTTTCTTAAAATTTTCCTGATTCAGTATTTTTAAAATAAAAATTTCACCTCCAGAATAACGTAGCATGGAAAACACGTAAGTTGTAAGTTTACCTCTTGAGGACTCTTAAAGTGAACACGGACCCAGCAGGCCACAGAGCGGGAATAAACTGACACCTACCTGAGCGCCATCCCAGCCTCCCCACCCTTCAAAGGTGATCATTGTTCTGACTTCCGCACCATGAATTAGTTTTGCTGTTTTGAACTTTATAGACACAGAATTATGTCCCGTGTCTGCTTGCGGAATTCATCCACGTGGTTTTCAGGAGCACCGGTTTTTGTTTTGTTTTGTTTTTTTTTTTTTTTTTTTTTTTTTTTTTTTTTTTTTTTTTTTTTTTTGTGACCTTGGTTTGGAATGTTTGCTGGCCCACTGTGCAGTTTTCTGAATGTGTTCATCGCCGGCTTTCTGTGTGCGCATGCGCAAACAGGTAACGCTAACAGTTCAGAGGGCAAGTGTATAGTCAGTCCACCACAGAAGGAGACATGGATTGGGGTACAGACTCCTTGGAAAGAACTGTGATGACATCCACACAGCCCTGCAGTTTGAAATACTGCTCTGGTCCCATCAGAATCCCGTTCCGTCACCTTGAGTGCAGGCACTGTACGTCATCCTGGTACCCAGTCTTGGGTCCATCTTCCTACCTACTGGCCCTTGTAAACTCAGCCTGCTGCCTGGGCAGCCAATCTGAGTAGCTCCTTCCCCCAACTCACTCTGGCCTGAGCCCGCCCTCTAGTGGCACTTTAAAGGACACGCTGCACATCTCTCATGTCGCTCGTTGGCCTCAGCCTGGATCGCAGATCCCATTTTCATAAGCCATCTTTTCATTTCCTTCTCTTAGTTCCTAATCTGTTCTTATATTTTCTTTTCTTGTTTGATGAGGGAACCTAAAAGACAAAATACGAAAATACGCCATCGAGAGTGTCTATCTGTCCATCCCCAGCTCTCAGTGTTCAAGTCTCTTTCAGAAACTTCTATCAAAATGGTCATTTTCTGCTCAGCCTTTCTTAAAACTAGCATTAAATACTTGAAATTCCCATGCACATTAGAGCAAGATCATTTTTTCTTCTTCTTTGACTTCCTCCTTCTCCTTCCTTTTCCCTCCTCCTCCTTCTTCAAGATAGGATGGCTCTATCTCATTCTACCCAGCTGGCCTAGCCTAGGTTGACCCACACTCATGGCAATGCTGTCCCAGCCTGTGCTAGGATTAGACATGAGCCGCATCCTTCGGCAAGACTTGTTTGTTTGTTGTTTGTTTTTAATATGCAGTGTATTGCCTCTGTTGGTGGGGCACTTCTGACTTTTATATGTTCCTGCCCTTTAGCTGTCTCCAAGGCCTCTAAGTAGAAATGTGTGAGTTTATAAATAGTAAACAAAGTAAGTGCTATGTTAGGGGGGAAAACTTTATGGCAAGTAGGATTTATGGTTTTCTTTTGTATTTTATATTTCTCTACGTTTTCTTTAAAAAAGAAGGACTGGTCTTTTACTGTAAATGGAAACAGTAAATAATTAGAAAGGGAGAAACCAGAAGCTTTGTAATCAGCAGGATCTTTGGAACATTTGTTAAAGCAGGAGATGGGAGCCACAAACTGTTGGAAGTCACACACCCTTTAAGGGATGGTGGCTCTGTAAGACACTTGTGGTTCCGGGATGGGTCTCCCCTGTGCTGGGAGTCACATAGGCCTTCGGTGTGTTTTTCTTGACTTTATGGTGATTCTCATCTTCCTGAGCAGAAGAATGCAGCCCTGAGGCAGGACCCTACATGGAAATCGATTCATTTGCTGAGAAGTTTATTGAGTTCCTCTTGGTGAATATCAGCCATCCAGTGGAGATAGAGGATGGCCCTTTACATACCCTGCATTACGTTATCTACCAGCTCAACAGACGCAACAGCAAGAAAACAGTACAGTGGTGAGGTACAGGGACCTGCGGGCTTCGGCCTAAGTTCTCTTTAGACTAGACTTAGAGGAATAGCTTCCCTGTGAAGATCACTAAAACTAAACTCCTAAAAGGCTCTGTTGGGTCAGCTCAGGGATCTGTTTGTACACATATTTCTCTGAAAGAATGCACTCATTTATTCAGCAAACATTTATTAAGTGTGTAGCTATGTGCAAGGCACTGTTTTATGTAGTATGGTGGAAGCATAAGGCGTGCCCCTACCCTCCAGCATCCCCTCAAGAAGGGGACTGAGCACATACACAAACAGCTACCATGTAACATTATAGACTTTAGTGAGTACAGTGCAGTAACAAAAAATGTGGAAGGAACGCATCATACCATTGTTGGTGCAAAGTGATTTGAAATGTGCATTTTATCTGCACTTGGAACATGGAGAAAATCTGGTCCACAGAAACATCTGAGCCAAAAGATAGTCTTATAATTACTTTACACAAATAGTTACATAGACTAGATATTTTAGCACAATCCAAGGTGTCAGCATAGTAACGATCTGACATAAATTACAATACAAATATCCCATGCTATGTGATCTCACTGATGTCTTTGCAAGAAGCATCTGGGGAGCTGGAGCATTCAGGCCTTGGGTTCTATCCCCAGCACTAAATAATAATGGCTCTTAAAGGACTTTGCATTGTAACACAGTAGGATGACTTTTACATCTGTTGACAGTGAGCCATGATGCAGTGGTGGGATGTTTTCTGCTTTCTTCTTGAGCTCAGGAAAAGCTAATAGAGTCACTCAGTAAAAAGATTAATCAAGTCTACAGAGTCTGCATCGGAGATGCTGAGGTTGGCAGCCTGACCCCCATTCAAAAGCTGGTCAAAGTAGAGTCTCGCCTGGCGGAGCTGAGCGACCTCATCGACTCCATTCCCAAAGAAAGCATGGAAGCCATCGAAAGGATGAAACAAAAGGAGCGTCGGCAGAAGTACGTGACAGCCTCCCCAGTAGAGTGAATGGCTTGAGTGGCTCTGTTCTGCATAGATCCTGCTCCACTGTTAGCTGTCCCTATGTGGCAGGCACTGCAGAATGGGGTTGCGCTGGAGGGCTCAACCCATCCCTGCCCTCCCACAGAGAATATTCTTACGAAAAAAGCGTGTTACTGTGACTACAGGTAATGAGCACTGCGAACCAAAGGAGCTCGGCAAAGAGTTTAATAGGGACAACTGACCTAACTGGGATGGCTGTGGCGAATGGAGGGGATCTCAAGTCCTGAGAGCATTCCTCAAGGACTGTCATGTGCAGGAACTGTACTGTGGCAAAGGTCCCATCATTAGAAGGCCACAGGGCAACTCGGTCTATGAAGGCTTGATGTTCAGAGGTACATGAGGGTTCCTCTCCCAACCAACCCTCCCCCCCTCCCCGTAACACTTAGCTTGCACTCACACCCCCATTCATTTATTCCCACAGAGAGCCTTACATGACTGTCATCCCTGAAACCTCACTCTCCCACATTTTACAGGTTAAATAAAGATTTTGTTTTGTTTTGTTTTGTTTTTAAGACAGGGGTTCTCTGTGTAGCCTTGGCTGTCCTGGACTCACTTTGTAGACCAGGCTGGCCTCGAACTCACAGAGATCTGCCTGCCTCTGCCTCACAGGGCACTGGGATTACAGGCGTGCGACACCATACCCAGCTAAGTAAAGATTTTTATAGGTATTTTGTTTGGAACAATTATCACTATAGCATGGTTAATACTATCACATGACACATAGACAATGCTGGTAAGTGAAATGATATTAACGTTCTAGCAAAGGAAAACATTGAGGCACACGAGCACTGTGGCTCCAGGAACGGGTAGGAAGCCTGCCTGCCTGCCCTTTTAGCTACAACTACTGTAACCTAAAGGAGGAAGCACCTGTCTAGTCCATTTCATAATGTTAAAAAAATAAAAAGAGGCTGTCATCACAATTACTTCACAGGGCTGGTGTATCAAATAACCAACGTAAAAGCACTGAATATGTCTGAAACATACCAGCCATTAACACTGTTACATTACTGATGCACGGAGATTATTTCACTCATGTAAAAATGAAGGCAACTCAAGATGGCTCTTACAGAACATAAAGCAGACTTAATCTGAGAGGAGGGCTCCTTCCAGATGACCTCAGGCTTTATGGTAGCAAACAGAGTGCAATTACAACTTATTTTCAACAGTAATATGCATCCAGTTCATCTTCAAAATGACTTTTTCTCCATGGTTTGGAGCAGTGGCTCTCAACCTTCCTAATGCTGAGAGCGTTCAATACAGCTCATGTTGTGGTGACCCTCAACCATAAAGTTACTTTCATTGCTTCTTCACAGCTGAACTTTGCTAGTTATGAAGCGTAATGTAAATATCTGACATGGTGCAGGTTATCTGTAACCCGTGAAAGGGCCATTGATCCTGAAGGGGTCATGACACACAGGTTGAAAACTGCTGATACAGAGGCACCTGAGCACCCAACTCTGCACAAACAGACTTCAGTAAACATCACCGTTCCCTGAAAACCCTACACTGGGACATACATCACTCACCAGCTTGTCAGAGCCAAGGCTTACACTGAAAGACAAGACAAACGGCACGTGTTGGTCTTAAATTGAAAGCGACATGCCAAGTGATCTGAGCAGCATGTGGCAACAGGGTGATGTGCGCACTTTCCCTACAGACACTTCAGAGACAGGTCAGGGAGGTGGCTGGGAAGTAACGTGGCTGTTTATAGAAAGTGCTTTGGTGGGATGGAGAGAGAGGAGGCACTTCTCCAACATAGTGAAATTAAATGTCTTACCACTGCCTGAATAGTTAAAAGCCATCATTATGGCTTCTTTTTTCCTCTCCCGGTTTTCTGAGATAGGGGTTCTCTGTGTAACAACTCTGGCTGTCCTGTCACTTGTTCTGTAGACCAGGCTGGCCTCAAACTCACAAAGATCCTTGAGCCTCTGCTACCCGAGTGCTGGAATTAACGGCATGCAACACCACTACCTGGCCTTTATGGGAATATTATTCTTGGATAGTTTGCTACCAAACAATAATGAAGCTGTTTTACTTCATATGAATTTCTAATTCTAATTCATTTCTAATAAGAATGTTCCTTCTTCCCTACTACAGGCTACGTGAAGAGAAGCTGAAAGAAAAGCAAAGACACCAGGAGGAGCGGCTAAGAGCTGCTCTGGAAAGAGCCGTTGCACAGCCCAAGAAGAAGGTTTGTGTTCTGCCATTATGGGTCCCTGTCCCTGTTCAGTCCAACGGCATGTCCAGCCAGAAAGGCTGTCCCTTGAGAAATACACTGGGCATTCAGACCTCACCATCAACAGAATGGGGTTCTTCCCTAAGTTACAAAGCACAAGGCAAAGGGAGGGTACTGTGCAGAAGGGAGAGGCATGGATCACAGGTTTCTTAAAGCCTCCTGATGCAAACACTTTCAAGAGCCAACAAAAACACTGATGTCTAAAATGATCTCAAAATTGGCTCAACAAAGCATCCTCTCGTAACCATAAAGGAACTCAATGTTAGCGTCCACCACAGTGCTTTCTAGGATGGCCTTACCTGAGCCACAGGCTACTGGATGAGAAGCCAGCTGCTGCCTTCTGTATACTACGGGTGCTCAACTTGCCAAGCATACTGGACATCTACTCGGTTATACCAATCCCCTGTAACTGTATTTACTATTTTAAAACATTTGATTCATGTAAAAATCCAAGGTAATATTGACATGATACATATTGCAATAAAAAAGTTATGCTTTCCTGTTTCAGGTGGGAAGACGACTTATCTACCGCTCGAAACCTCCATCTGCAGGCAAGCAGGAGCTACTCTTAGTCAGTGATACAAGAACAAAATCACAGGAGGAAGAGTACTTTTTTGGACCATGAAGACACTCTATTAGCAAATGTTTTATGTAGATGTTGGATTTCAGTGATGCAACATTGTCCTAACAAATTTCGGGAAGGCAGGCCTTTATCCAGAAGTTTATAGAAGGAATGACAACTGTTTCCTTATGCTAAAACTCTCTGTAATGCATTAGTACCATTCCATGAGATAAGCAATATTATAAGTTGTCCCTGTTGGATACACACACCCAGTCAATTTATTGATACAATGACAAAGAGTGACTTACAGTAGAATGGTCTCCTTCAAAGCATGAAAATTTTGTGTTTTCTAAAGCAGTAAGAAAGTTCACAGCTTTGAATATAATTTTTAAAATGTTATTAGTACAACTGGATAGGTTTAAAATGTACAAATAGACTATAGTCTCAGAACAATCACGAGACTGGTTTTATTTCACACTAAGCTCTGAAAACCTTATCAGAAAAATTTAAGTGAACAAAACCTAGATATGAATTTGTATTATGCTCTATCTCCATAATTATGTCAATTTTCATGTTGACTTAGCTACAATATGTAGATTTAGTCTACACTGATATAGAAATAACATAATTTGTTAATATATATTATTAATATATATTAATACTAAGAAAATGTTTAACTTTATGCATGTTAAAAGTGATTTGAAAACCTTAAATGGCACACCTGCTTTTAAAAGGTCTCAGTTAATATACTTATAAGGGCTAATTCTAAAGCATAGAAACATGCTTCACAAAAAAAAAAAAAATTAGAGGTGTGCTTACAAAGAAACTGGCGTAAATGAAACTGATGGCTTTTAAAGCATCAGTTTTATTAACTGTTTCAAAATGTGCACTTTGCATATGAATGTCTGCATAGAAATAGTTCACAAGTCAAGTTGAAAAAAAAAAAACCCAAATCTTTATTGTATAGAAATACATATATATATAAAAAAAAAATCCCCCCCATAGATGCTATTCTCTCATTTCCCCATCTTCCTCTTCCTCTTCCACACCTCTGATATAAAGAACGTTATTACACCTGTGAAAAGAAAATGGGGTCCATTGTTAGGTCCAGAAAGCATGGACAATCAAACCATCACTGCTCCATTTTCAGACTGGCTAGACACAAACTTTACAGCTGACCATTCTTCCCATTAGTGTTGTCCAGATGTGCTTGAAAGCACAGTGCACACGCTTTCACCACCATCATCACAAGCACACCTCTCCAACTTAGAATGCAGGTGGCTGATCACACTAGAGAGTGAATACAACAGAGACCCTGAGCAGCGGGGCTTAAAATTCACATCTAAGCTTCCGTAACACAGGACACCGAAATGGGTTACAGCTGAGAGCCAAGAAATGCATTATCAACAGTAGAAAACCCTGAGGCTAAACTGAAATCTATAACAACTTTAGTAATTTCAAAGGCTTCTGAAGTCTAGTTGTAAAGTTGTTTGCTTTTTTTTTTTTTTTTTTTAAAGTAATCCTCAAACTAAAGGGCTAATGTGTTTCAGCAGGTATTTGAGGTTAACTAGTAACCTTACACACAAACAAATGCACTTGTTACCTTATTAGAACTTCACCCAGATGTCCAGACAATGCCCCATCTATGTATTCTTCTGTATTTGCAAGCTTTAGAAAAGAAGAAAAAAATAGTAAACTACACAGGAAGGAAACAGTGCAGCTACCACTCCTGGTGAGCGCACATTAACTGAGACCACTCTCCACCAATAACTCAAATTGCATCCGTTAAGTAGTGATTAGAAGATTAGCTTCTATTACTCTTGTATCTTTGGATTTCATATATTCATTAATACATCCATGGGTATAGAACCAATGTATAATAAAGCTTGTTTTAAAATTGTTATGCCTTCTAGATGTTATTTCTGATATCAAAGTGTCTCAAAGAAATCCTCCAATTTGAATATGTTAGTTTTTAAATTTTCTGAAAATTCAGTTTCAAAAAATTACATACTAACTTTTCTCAGGGCAAAACATTATGAATTATATTAAGTTATTCAAATGGGCATATAAAAGCTATGACTAAAATATATTAGCCAACACCCAAAACAAAGATAGAAGATTTTGAAAATTTCATGAACGCAACAAGGTTTAAAAAAAATTAAAAAAATGATCTTTAGGATTACTTTGGCAACTCTAATTTTTAAGTTTAAAATGTTTAATCACCATTGTTATAACTATGTTAGGAAAAAAAAAAAATCACAACCAACCAGTGCCATATAAGGTCACCAAGGGCAGAACAAGAGAAGGAAGCTTCTTTCATAAGCAGGTGGGTGAACAAGGCAAAGAAAAGGACACAAATGTGGCACAGGCATTTAATACTTGCTAGCAATAGTTTCCCTGGAGAATAGCAAAGCAACCAGAGAACATGTTATCACTAGAAACACACGTTTGTGAAATTATTATTTTGTATAAAATCGCTATCCATTAAAAGCAACTAATTAATTTTATAACTTTTTTTTGGTTTCGAGACAGGTTTCTCTGTGTAGCCCTGGCAGACTTGGAAATCACTCTGTAGACCAGGCTGATCTTGAACTTAAAAATCCACCTGCCTCTGCCTCCTGAGTGCTGGGTTTAAAGATGTGCCCAGCATAAGCAATTACTTTTGAAAAGTCTCTTAACACTTTACTGGCTTATAAGTTATCTACAATATGTCTTATTAAATACAAAGCCGTCACCCCTGCTGAAAGGCTCTGTGTCTACCATTCCAAACCTTCTACTCCACCTTCTTGCTGAACTGTAAACACACCAAGCATGCCCTGTGGACAGAAGCTTTGCTTGCTGTTCCTCCAACTAAGACACTCCCCTGTCAGCTCACCGTCTCCCTAGAGAGACTGCGCTTCTCACCCTGTTTTTGCTTCACTCTCATACCGTGGACCATCCCTAATCATCGTGTCCCACTCCCACCCTCCAACACTGGAACAAGCTCAAGGATAGGACTTTGTTTTGCTCACTGTTACAATCACTGCACCAAGCAGTAACTTTTGACTAACTGAAGCAACTTAGAATCTGGGCTCATTCAGAGATATGTTCTGGAATTCATGGATGCTACATTAACTGGAAGATCAAATGTTAGGTACTTTGTCTTGTGTTGTTTTGTTTCCAACGGGGTCTCATGTATTCCTGGCTGGCTTTCAACTCTCCATGTAGTTGAGGATGATGTTTAATTCCTGATCCTCCTACTTCTATTACCAAATGAATGATGGAATTACAGGCTTTCATCACTACACTGAGTTCTGTGGTTCCAGGGATGGTATAAAACTTACTTTTAAGTCACACATTCTGTGTAGTTCAGCGTATTCATAAAATTGAACTTCATTACTAATTTCACAATATTTTTATCATGATGGGTATACTTTTCTGAATTTTTTTCTACATCCTTTGTCAAGACTTTTCCAGACTTAAAAACCTCAGTATTCTCATTTGCTGAATTTCTGGTTGATCTATTCACCTAAGCAACCTTTAAAATGTGGGTAGAAACTACAACTAAACCACCACACACAAAAAAATTAAAACAGACAAAGCTGCTGGGCATGGTGGCACATGCCTTTAATCCGAAAATTTGGGAGACAGAGGTAGGTGGATCTCTGTAAGTTCAAGACCACCCTCGCCCACATAGTAAATTCCAGGCTACCAGAGCTACAAAGTGAGATCTTATGTCAAAATCTACAAATAAATAAATAAATAAATATAAAAATAGGTGAAGGATATGAATACACATTTCTCCAAAGATGGTAAGCGCATGGCTAATAAACACATGGAAAGGTCATTGAGGAAATGCAAATCAAAGAGTCACCATTCCAGATCCAAGAGAGTAGTATTTCATACATAGAAGAACCTCATAGAAAAGAAGTATAAATACAGATGTGAACAAACCAGAACACCACTCGAAGCAGCTGCTATGTAAAACAAAATGACAGCCACTCAAAATCATTAAATGGTGAAATGGTAATCCCACTGTGTATATACTCCAAGGTTAAAAGTAGACTTGAAAAAAAAAAATGCTTGTTTGGGGCTAGAGAGTTGGCTCAGAGGTCAAGAGCACTGGTTCTTTTCCAGAGGACCTAGGTTTGATTCTCAGTACCCACATGGTGGCCCACATCTGTAACTCCAGTTCCAGGGTGTCCAATGCCCTTTTCTGACTTCTGTGGGCACCAACTACACACATGGTACACAAACATACATGCTGGCAAAACATATACAAAAAATTTTTAAAAATAAAAGTGGGATATTATTCAGTCCTAAAAAGCAGTATGATAGTTTGTAATACCAATGAGTCCTAAAGGCCTAATAAAACCGGACAATAGAACAAAATACCTGTGCCAAGGTATTCATGGGGGTTTGATTCCAGGGCCTCTCAGACAGCCAAGGATGTTCATGTTCTTTATTTCAAATAGCCAAGTGTTTGCATATAACCTGATGTCCATCACATAAATTTCTAGATTATTCAGTGTATTTATGTGTCCATCACATAAATTTCTAGATTATCCCCAGTGTAGTGAGGATAACAAAAGGATTATGTATCTTGAGCACAGAGTGCTTCTGATCTGTCATTAGCTGAGGTTCCTAGAATAGACAGATTCAAGAGACAGGCCACCCCCAAGCGTGAGACTGGACTGGAGGAGGCAGGTCACAGGGAACTTTTCAATGGGTAGAGTTCCACTGTGAATGATAAAAACATTCTGGAAAGGAATAGTGATGACCACAGGGAAATGTTAATATACTAAAGCCACTGAATTACAGTGATAAGTGCCTAAACAGACACACTCCAGAATATCCTTTATTACAAAAAGAAAGACTTGCTGAATCATTTATAGAAACCAAGAGGCACGGTAGTTAACTGTCAGTCCCTTTTGACCCATTTGATGACAAAATACTTTCAGTGAATTGCTTTTATGATGTGTCTTTAAAATTCATTAAAGCAATTTAAAATTTTCCCTTGAAAAATTCTTTGAAGAAGGAAGTGCTGGGAAGTTTTGCTTTCTGTAATAAATTAGTTTTCCCTGGTGGTTTTAGAAACCAAATGCTGCCCCCGTACAGTGGATGACTGGGCTCTGGTTTAGTATAGGGCTTTAGTACTCCTAAGTACATCACAGTGTGAGCATCCTCCCTAGAGTACACTTTA